TACTTTCCAAAACAAGCACATTGATCCGTAAAACTTCTTCCTTATTTATATCACTGTATTAATTGCTATGTTGCAAAGCGCCGAACGTCTTGAAAAGGTCCTTGTACAATCAAATAATAATTCAAATAAAACAACAATTCAAGCTACGTAATCATGTGACAATCTCTAAAAAGTTGTGGATTTTTTTTGATTTCAAAACGAACCACACAAAGATTATTCTAATAAGTAACAAACTTGAGTTCCTTATTTCAGCCAATTTGATTAACAAGAGCTAATGCCATGATATGTTTATTGACTATATAAATTTTTTGTTTGGAGATACGAGTCAGTATGTCTTATTAGTTTATCACTATTTCCAACAAAGAATGATAGGGCTAGAGAAGAAAGAAATAGATCTCGTAATCCAATTTTAAGGGGAAAAGGTCATTCGACGGTTTTTTATGGATGATAAGGATATAGAAGAACAAACAGCTACGGTTCTCTGGTAAAGTTTAACTTGAAACCAAATGTCATTTAAGGAAGATGATATCAATATGCAAATTAAGTTATTTTAGTTTTAAACTTGTGTTTTTTTCTCATTTATTATTATAGTCAATAATGGCTTGTCGAATACACTGATAAACAACCAACAGATAATTATTAAAGGCACATTACTTAATTCAAACTGATAAATAAAGCTTTCTTTACAAAATCCTTTTTCATTTTCATAAAGCTCCTTGTTTTTTTTTGACTAATGAGGGAAAAATAATTTTTTCCATTGCATTTCATTATTAATTTTAAATACTGTACAAATTTCTTTCTTTATAGTGACATTAATGATGACAATTTATTATGACATTATATAAATTTGATCTATTGAATAGAACAGAAAGACAATAATATTTTTTTGAGAATAATAGTAATTCCAATTCCCTTTTTTTAAATGATGATATGTAACGAACAATTCTCTGATGATATTATTAGACCTGCTATCATTATCACTTGAAAATTTAAAAAATTGTTATTTTTTATAGGTGCTATCTTTCCAGACTTACAGTAATTGATAGTTATTGCGTGATCAACATCAAATATTTATAAAAGAATTCAATTAGTCTTCATAAATAATTACCTAACTAATCAGCTTACAGGGGTTCACATAGTCTAAATTCAACCCGAATTATAGTGTTGCAGTCACTTTCAAGTCATACATAGATGAATATTTTTGTAACCATCTTATTTCAAAGTCAAAAATAGAAAGCTAACACAACGGCTTATATGTGTTTCGAACTCAGGCACTAAAGACAATTCGAATGCGTTTGATTTTTTTCATTTATGAAATGCAATAATAAAAGAAGAAATATTACTAATAGTGCAGTCATAATAAAAGAAACATGATTGTATCATTATGGTTTTAATTTGTAGAAAGAAAATATATGGATAACATATAAATTGAACATTTTTTCTACTGCATAGTTATAAAATAATTGCTAGAAGCACGGTTTACAGTATAACAGCAACTTCTGATGTAACTTATTATTGATTGTTTTAAAGTTTCTATTCAAATGAAGGCAAACTATTCAAGTTATATTTTACACTGATACTAATAAAAAAAATAAATTTTTATAGCTAATCTCAAAACATAGTTTGGTGATGAATAAAGAAAGGCTTTTCATTCATGGATCGGCAACTATCTAATTTAAAACAAGATTTAATTGCTTTTTTTCCCATAATGTCACAAATAATTGTAGCATTATGTAATTACAAAGGAAGAATTTGTCAGAGAAATAAACTATATATACTAATATTTTTTTAATTATACAGTATTTCTTACTAAAATAATTTAATAATATTATATTTTTATTTTGGATTTTATTAATGTTTTGTATATTAGTAATTCATTAAATAATTCAAAGGAAATATCTATTGCCACTTCTACTTATAAATAAATACCTTTTACTCCTATTAATTTTTTTTAATAAACAAACAATCCAAAGAACTTCTTGCAATTTTGGTGTCAGCTGGTTAAATGGCTTAGTTGGCTGATTTTCTTTTTTATAAAATATTTTTTTCTAGTATCACCGATTAAATTTGGGAGAGCGTATTTTAATTGGTGATAACAATTATTTTTGTTTTTGCGTGGATCAGGATGAATAGGGATCAATGAATTGATTTTGGTTAAAGAAGATAAAAGTTTATTTAAATAAAATATTACTATTTTATTTATTTAGTTTTCTTAGTCGAAACT